TCTAGACCGGCCATAGAAATCAAATCTGTATTATACTTGTGTTGATGGAGAAAGATGCCCTTGGATGTAGAATGAACCTCAAGACCAAGAAAATAATGTAGATTACCCAGATCTTTCATGTGAAATGAGGCTTGTAACTGTTGCTTAAGTCGCTGAATGGAAGCATGATCCGAACCAGTAATAACCATATCATCAACATACAAAAGAAGCAGAACAATACCCGTAGATGTGCTATGAATAAATAAAGATGAATCATACTGACTCTGAATAAAGGAGAATCCAAGTAGAGTGGAGCGGAATTTCTCGTACCATGCTCTAGGTGCCTGTTTCAAACCATATAAGGAGCGTTTGAGCTTACACACGCCTTTAGATGACGAGAATAAGCCTTGAGGTGGAGTCATATAAATATCTTCTCTCAGGTCACCATGAAGAAAAACATTCTTCACATCCATTTGATGAAGAGTCCAACCACTAGAAGCAGCTATAGAGATGATCGTGCGGACAGTTGTCATTTTGGCAACCGGTGCAAATGTCTCATCATAATCAATTCCATATTCCTGCTTGTTTCCTAACGCAACCTAACGAGCCTTGTAACGGTTGAGGGACCCATCAGAATTTAATTTCACAGAATACACCCATTTGCAACCTATAGGTTTTACATCGGGAGGGCAAGAGACAATATCCCATGTGAAATTCTCTTGAAGAGCTTGAAGCTCTTCATTCATTGCTTTTATCCATCGCACATCCTTAACAGCCTGTGAGTAACAAGTAGGAATAGATATGCTAGAGAGTGTGGCAGTCAGAGAAGTATGTGAGGAATCATACCTGTCTGATGAATATCTATCTGGTGCACGACATATTCGACCAGAACGCCGTGGTTCAACCGGTACAGGATCAGGTGGCGGTTCAGCGTCGGGAAGGGGTGTGGGAACCTGCTGTCTGTGTTTTCTGACATATACATGACCTGGTTTATAACGTTCTATAGATTGAGGCATAATAGAAAACTTAGGAAGAGTAACAATATCATTAATGGCAGGAGAAACACAGGGAAACATAAACTGATTATCAAAAAATGTCACATTTCTAGAAATGCGAAAACGATGGTTAGTGACATCATAACACACAAATCCCTTATGAGAGTGACTATATCCCATAAATGCACATTGAACTGATTGTGCTCCAAGCTTATGCCTTTCAAAAGGAGGTAAGTGAACAAAACACACACACCCAAAAGTATGTAAAGCACTATAATCAGGATGAATTTTAAAAAGACGAAAGAAAGGAGAATCAAGTTCAATAACCGTAGAAGGAAGACGATTGATCAAGAAGACAGCTGTGGAAAGAGCTTCTACCCAAAATCGGGATGGTACTGAAGCTTGGAGAAGCAATGTGCGTGTTACATCAAGCAAATGACGATTCTTCCGTTCTGCAATACCATTTTGTTGAGAGGTATTGGGACAAGATCGTTGCGACAAGATGCCTTTTTGTTGAAGGTATTCCTGAAACTTATGAGACATGTACTCACCACCAGAGTCAGAGCGAAAATTTTTAACACTTGCTTGAAATTGAGTTTCAACATATGTTAAAAATTTCTTAAACACAGAAAACACTTCAGATTTAGACCGAAGGAAATATATCCAAACAAAACGACTATAATCATCAATAAATGTGACAAAATATTTATAGTGAGAATGAGAAACTACAGGAGACATACCCCATACATCACTATGAATCATTTCAAAACAAGTGGAAGCACGATAAGCACCAGACGGAAAAGGAAGTGTTTTACTCTTAGCTAATTTGCAAACAGAACATGAAATAGAGGCATTAGAAACATTTTTATTTTCCAACAGACCATTTTTAAATAAATGGGACAAAACAACAGAGTTTGGATGACCTAATTTTCTATGCCAATCCTCATAAGAGTTCAAAATATTATTACAAGCAAGAGATATATGATTAGAAATAAACTGGAGTGGAAACAGTCTTCCCACTTTAGGCCCCTTCGCGATCACTCTCCCCGACACCTGTTCCTGCACAAGACAACCATCACGAGAAAAGTTAACATCATAATTTTTATCTACCAATTGACCAACAGATAATAAATTAGTCGCAAGTCCAGGTGATACAAGCACGTCCCGAAAATCAGAGTTGATGTCGCCAATATCCGTAATAGATAAAGTATTACCATCAGCTATTTGAATTTTCTGATTACCATGATAAGAGTGTAAATTGTTCAAATACTCTGAAGAACCTGTCATGTGATTGGATGCACCCGAATCAAGAAACCATGGGCGAGAAACATTAGAAGACTTACCCTGAATTCCCAAGGCCGAGAGAGCGGAAAGTACCATTTGTTGAATCAATTCAGGTTGTATAGCACTATCGTTTGATGCCCCATTAGTGGAAGGACCAACCGCATGATTTACATGGAATGCCTGTACTGAACGTTGTGTTGGTCGTGGAGGACGTGTGGGACACTCAGAGATAATATGACCCTGTTGCTTGCAGTAATTACAAAACTTCTTATTGCAGCTACGAGCAATATGACCAAATTGTTTGCAAGAGAAGCACTGAACCTGTTTCATATCACGATTTTTACCTTTACTTTGAGCAGCATATGCAACCATCACGGGCTCGGAAATGGTAGCATCATGAGACATGGCTCCTTGAGTAATAAGACGTTGTTCCTCCCTTAGGAGTTCTCCAACACATGTATCTAAAGAAGGAACAGGATTCCTATTCAGCAAGGCACCTCTGACAACCTCAAATTTTGGGCGTAATTTCATGAGAAATTGATCTCGACCACTTGTGTTGTAAACCTCTTGAACAGCCGTGAGAGAGGTCTTGGGAACATTAGCATGTATAATAGCAGAGTGTTCTGCCCAGAGATTTAAAAAACCAGAATAGTATTCTTGAATAGACAAATCACCTTGTTTGTAGTTGGCTATTTCTAACTCCAACTGAAAACGTTTTGCCGAATTGCCCTGGTTGTAAATGCGCTTTAGATAATTCCACATTTCTTGAGCAGTTGAAAAAGAGCGTAAGTTATTGATCATGTGAGGATCAATACTGTTGAGAATCCAAGTGATGATTTGAGCATCTTTAGTTTCCCACGCATCTAAACCAGTTTTCTCCGTCGGTGCCTTAGAAACACCATCTAAATGACTCCATAATCCCTTTCCTTTAACATACATCTTGAACTGAAATTCCCATGCAGAATAATTCTTGCCGGTAAAACGGACACAAAAATTCTTTTCATTTTCCATTGCCATTAGATATAACCCCTTTGTATTGTTAAATAAACAGGATAAATCCAAACCCAGTGTGCACGTGCAACCAATTTATTTAATAATACCAATTAAATAAATAGTAAAACAATGGGAAGCAAATCAGGAAACCACGCGGTAGCTAAACTAGGAAACCAAGCAGTAGCTAACGAACGGTGAAGAAACACCCACGATCTAGAAATCGCCAACAATTCAACAATGAAACCACGATCACCGAACAAAATCACCAAGAACAACGATCACCAAGCGAAATCGCCGAGAATACGAAACGGAATCGCAAAGCACAATATGTTAGCAGCACCAAATGATTAACGATCACCGAAACAAGGTGCGATAAACACGGAATCAAGATCACGAAGCAACAACAATGAAGAAATCACGAAACGGCAATTGAAAGATTTCAGATTTCGAGAAATACAAACAAGAAACACGATTTCAAGAGCGACCCAGTGGGGTGTCGCTATTCAGCCAAGAGAACAAGGATTCACAGGTTAGATCGAACCCCTCTGATACCATGTCATGAATTCTGGCTTGATGCCTTTCTCGTTGCATTTGATACTATATATAATAGTGTCGGTAATTACAACTCATAATGACTAATTACAACTCATAATAACTAAATACAACTTATAATGACAATTTCCTATTCTATGAATGTAAATTATTCACAATAAATGTATTTGATTATTTCCTGATTAACACTACTAAATTTTTGGACTTCAGGCACAAACTCAGGGTTGCTCCCAGCAGCTTCCCGTGAATTTGTGGGGGATATTAGAGTAAGAATTAAAGATAGAAGTATCAATACTATAATAGCTTTGTATATGACTGACAGATGTCAAATCTAAAGTAGCAGCTAACCTGCTATAGCAGATCACACAAGTTGCCACTATAAATACAACTGTGCATCTCCTCTTATAACTAACTTTCACATAATAACAGAAATGAAAAGTTCCCCTTTGATTTCTATCATTCTAGATGCACATAATCATTACTATGTATCTGTCAACTTTCTGGTTGTGAGTTGATTTGAGGAACTATGTGGTGTACTGTAAATCTTGCATGTGTTCTATTTTGACATTAGTATTCAGATTTTTTATGCTTTATTTATGCAAATATCAAAGAATTGCACTAGTGGTGCACTCAGAGTAGTCAATCCCAAATAGCGGCTGACTCTAAAAACGGGATAGCAGGATGACCGCTATTTGATAAGTTTTTGGACAAACTAGATGAATGATAATTATAAACATATGAAATACAGAGACAGGTGAGGTAGGAACTCGTGATTTTTCAACGTGGATGAAGGAAGGTTAGGGTGGAGTCTCAAACTCAAATTTGATTGAAAAACCAAAAACTACCCTTTAAAGTGTTTCAAATGCGTTATGTTGTTCAAAGTCATATAATTGACATATAATGTCTCTACTACAGTGACCACTTTGAATATTTGAAACTCTTTGGCTTGATGCAAAAGAGTAGTTAGCATTTGGATTGGAATCTGATATCATAACAATGATTAGAGTTTTCTTTTTATCGAGAGGAAGGGAATGCATGGGGAAGCTCTAATACCATGTAAAGAACGGACTGAAAGGATAGTTGCATCATCTAGTTCTACCGATAACTAATATGTTTCAATAACTTGTCTTGTTATTAAACAATATACAATCTTGACATGATTTTCAAGATTCTTAATTTGAACTTTTTTGGGTACAGGAGGTGGCCACCAAGAATGACATAAAGGCAATGCCGACATTTTTGTTGCTGAAAGATGGTGCTGCATTGGAGAAGATAGTTGGTGCGAATCCAGAAGAGTTAAAGAAAAGGATAGATGGGTTTGTTCAGACAACTCGCGCATCGGTTGCGTAGTATACGCATCTGTCCGATGTTTTAACTTGCAAGTTGTGAGAAGTGTGTTTGTGGTCAAATCCTTTTCATTTGTGATGTTTTATGTCAAGTCTTCAAGTGTAAATTTCCTAGTTCCATTAGCTTAATGGTTTTGTTAATGGTTACTACTTTCCACAGTTTTTATGGCAGCAAGGATTTGTATATTTTATCAGTTTTCAATGTTGTGGATTTTTATTACTATGTTGGAAGTGATGTTTATTTATCATGGTTAAGTTCTTCATATTCTTTTGATTTGTTCTTTAAAAAAATATATAAATCGTGTATTCTATTCGCATAAATATATTTACTAGGTAATTACTATTGTAATATGTAAGTTCGACATGTAAGAGTATTTAAAAAAACATGAAAAAAAATGATTTTATAAAAATTTGTAAATAACATAAACATTCTAATTTCAAATTCAATAATAAAGTTGATAAAAAATATGAAAAAACAAGCAAATTATTAAGATAAGATCCTACTTAGACAAAAAATCATAAAACATGTTAATGAATTCAAACATTCCAATCTATCAAAATTCTTGTCAATCAATGCAATCATTAGACAGCAAAACATGTTTTTTATTTTGTTGCAAAAATTACACTATACTTGTAAATATTTCTCGGACTTCACTAGTTTATCTGAGTCTTCTTGAATCTATTTGAGTATGAGGGAGTCAACCACAATTTTTTTCTTTTCAAATGTAAATCAATTTGTTTTTACCCTTGGGCTCGAAAACTTGTTAGACTCTAGAGACAATTTTTTGATAAAGTTTAATTATGGACACGTTTGTTTTAGTTTTAAAAAATGTATTCTTTTTGTATTTTTAAAAATAGATTTTATATAACTATTTTTAAAATATTATAAGTTTTTTTATATTTATTTTTTTAAAATTAAAATATTAGTTTTGACTATAATATAAGAAAATCTGTTCTACTCATTCCGTCAATTTTCTCCTTTTGTTTCAAAAACACTCCATGTTGATACGTTCTTTGATTTCTATTTCAGATTTTCATATTCTCCTAAACACTCCCACGATGCAGTTCCATTCCCTACCTCTCCAACAACCCCTATTCATTGCCAATTTTGTAACCGTCCCAAAACATCGTCATGGCTACCATTCTTTATGACCTTCTATGTTCTAAATTTCGGTTACAGCATCACCTTCCTCTAACCCTACCATTTTCACATCCTCTCCCTCATATTGTAGCCGACCTTTGTTTCTCCATCTTCGACTGATTCGGTAAGAACGACCACCGTTTCTCCTTCTCCGACCCTTTTACATTCCTATTAACATAATAAAATTGTATATTTGGTCTTTTCACTGTTTTTTTTCATCTACACAGAGGTTGCCTCAAATCCGATAAAGGGCCTTGAAATAACCTAGAAATTATGAAGATTAGTCTATGTGCTGTAATACTTACTTGCCCCTTCTGATTGTTCATCTGATGTTATACTAAATCTCATATCTCTTTTTGATTTGATCTATTTTTCAGATTTATTGAATAAACTGTTGAATGGTAGAAACCTGACAGGTAAAAATTTCTCTTAATTTGTTAATTTTAACATCAAATAATGGTTGTATATTTTCTAATTTTGTTTATCTTGTAAAATCTTGTAGGAATAAAAATAAATCAAAAGAACCAACTGTAAAAAATAAGGGGTAAGTTTGGAAAGAAACATAAATGGTTGTTGTTTTTGATATTTCTTATGGTTTATTTGATGTTTTCATTTCTATCTGATTTTTGAGATTTAGGGTTTTTGAAATAAAGTTATTAGATTTATGGTTTATTAGGGTTTCATTTAAATCTCATAAGTTAGTTATGTGTTTGTATACATGGTTTCAGTTTTGGATTTTACTTTTCTGAGTTCCAAGTGATATACCTTGTGTTTGAAACAATTAGGTTCTGCGGCGTGAATGCGAGTAAAGACGCCATTCAGTTTTCACCTTTCAACATACATAATTTGTTAACTTGGTTTTATCATTTGAACCTTGTAGAAATTGTAGTTTCCTGGTTTTTCAAGCGACATACACGAAATACACTGAAAAGCATCTTTGGTTCTTGAAGATGCAGTTAGAAATATTTACACTGTTGTTGCATTTTGTGCTGGTAATAAGGTAATGGAGCTCTTATCAATTCCTTTACATTTACTGTTGATGTTGCCAAGTCATATACATGTTGCCAATTTTCCCTTTTACATTAGATCAATTTTCTGTAAGTAGCCTGCTTCTCTATTGCTTTCATGTTAAAATCACATTAGATCAATTTTCCCTTTTTCAAGATAACTTACAACTTATTATGTAAAAACAATTTAATTGTATTTTATCATTTGTTATAGAAATAAAATAACTTGTGCATTAACACTTAATTGCGATAAAGGTTTATGATATAAGCATTCCAATAAGTCTTTTACCCAAACAGTGCCTAGAAAGATTCGAGATAAGATGCTCATGACATCAGACTAACCTTACATTCCCATTAAAGAGTACTGTTGAGTATGAAATCAAATAGTAAGTAGTAATTAAGAAGAAAATAATACAAAAGAAGACCATGCAAAAGGGATATATACCAAAATACAATAATGATTCATGGTACTTATTACTATTAGCTAGGAAAAATAATTTATCTTAGTTCTTTAATGCAACAAATTTAAAAGAAATTAGTTAGAGGAAAAATGTGAATAAAAGTATAATGAAAAAATCAAAAGTTTAATTAGCACAACTCAATGTTCCTTTGTCTGTTCTTGTATAATCCTGATGAATAATAACTATAACTTGGTTATGTTACAGGTATATTTGCAAACGACAAATGAACTATTTGAGACGATTTTTTGGAGATCCAAAAAAATGACAATTTTTGATGCGGAATGTTGTATCGAGGGTATTGTGAAGGTCAATATCAGTAGCAGAAACCACACTTTTTGCAACTATGTTGCCATTCTTTCCGGATATAATGACATTGTTTGGAGGGTGATCTTCTATTTTAGTTTTGATAGGAGGAATATCATCAATTAGACTAACTGTTTGTGAGGGATATTAGATAATTTTCAGAGATTTCAAATCTTCAAATATTCTTCTGGGTGAGTAGTGGAATGCAAAGCTTCCAGAATTTAGATTAGCAAGATTGGGTTTTGTAAACCATAATTCCAAAATCTTGAAGACCATAATTGACTCTACTAAACCAAGCTCTAGGACTTATCTTGATAGTTTGCTGAAATTGAACATATTTATAATGGTTGGTTGTTGTCTGTGCATGTTTCAGGTATTAGTAATAACACTTTTGTACACATATCCTACTGTCCTCCATTCTTGCTTTCAAAATTGGATATTCCTAGGACACTTGAATATTTGGTATGAAATTACTTCTGTGATAATATTACTGAAGTAATTCTGCATGCTTTATGGATCAAGCTTATATTCCTGTTTTTATCTTGAATAATAAACACAAGGCGTTTGTGCAGCTGCTTACAAGACCAACGAGTTTTTTGCCTTTTTCACAGCATCAAGCGACTGCACGTTTTAAATTTGGCATGTGCAATTGAAATGTAAGCAATATGACTACATGATATACTAAGAAACAAGTTTAATTGACAATTTTTGTTTGATCATGGCATTAGTTTCCAGGTTCCATGTCGGGTGGATACCCCTGAAGAATGTGCTTCCTTAATAGGCAAACAAAACATTGTTATTCATTTTCGTTTTCAATGTAAATTTATATTACTTATGTGATTTTCTTCTAACTTTTATTCTTAGCAGAAGCAAACATCAAACTAAAGCTTGGATCTGGAACTTTGATAGGAGTTCCTATTCCTCAAGAGCACTCAACATCTTCACATATAATTTAATCCGCCTATGATTTGCCTAACCGTGACAGCGAATGAGTAAGGAGGAAGGTGAGTAGATATCTACAACGAGGCTCTTCGTCGCTACCGGATGTTACGGTGATGTTTGAAGAGGAGAAGAGAAATAGACAGGTTACAATCCAAGGGATTTCAGCTAGGTTGCCACAACTGCATGCGGTTCATCAAGGTATCGATGAGCTAATTTATAGTGTTATTGATTGCTGTGCTGTAATTCTATTGCGGAGCTGATTTTTATTGCGGTGTTAGGTTTTTTTTCAATTTTGTTGCTCATTTAGAAAATTGATGTTGATTTAGATTTAGAAGGGATATGAAGAATATGAATATTTTGTTTTGTGATATAATTTGGTTTTGTATGTGTCATTGATTTTGTTTTGGTTCATATTGAATGAAAATTTGCTAGATAGAAGATGGAACCAGCTGCATTGATGTAATCATATCATATGAGTTAATGTGTTTGTTTGATATGTGTTATGAAACACTTAGACAAATATGAATATCAGACATGTCACTAGAGCATATAATTGAATCTGCCATCAAGCATACATCAAATTAGATTTTATTTTTGTTACATCTTACATTGTTCATTTTATATAATCATGGTTTCTGCTTTGGATGTCTTTTTTATCCGACCTCTCTCGCCAGCTAATATCTCTAAACAATTTTGGTAGTAATAAAATACTGATTCCCATTATATCCGATGCAACCAATATTTCGAGATTTTAAAACATTCAACATCTTACTGGATGAAGATTTCAATACAAAGCTTTCAGAATTTGGACTTGCTCGACAAGGACACTTCTCACGTTTCATATTTAATGTATAAATTAAAAACATTAATTATTTTTATGACTATTTGGTTTAGAATTTTAGATATGTTAAAAGTAAGATTGTAATCTGTACACACTCTCTTTATTAATGTACACACTGTGTTAGAACAATTTTGATTGTCATTTTTAATGTATCAATTTTATTTCTGATTTATTTATTGTCATGGTATCAAATATAGTTGGATTTTTAAATCTATCTCAAATCAATGTGTGAGGTTGAACAACAAATAAGGTGTTTCTGTTTTTTTAAATATGATTCTCGATTGTTATTGGTATAGTTGGTGATGTGGTGTGGCTTTTATTTAGGATGATAGTATAGACTCTTTCTAACTTTCTAATGGTATAGATGGTGATGAGGCGTGCATTCAAAACATTAATAAAATTATTATGTAAATTAAATAATTGTTAATTTAAAATAGTCAACCGATTATAGTTTAAAATTATTATGTAAATTAAATAACTGTTAAGTTAAAATAGTCAACCGATTATAGTTTTTTAAGTGGTTCAGTATTCTAAGTGGCACTAATTATGGTGGAATTATAGTTTTACTTCTTCCTATATATTAATTAATTATGATTATGATAAAATATAATATTAATATTGTCTTGATTTCTATATGATAATATTTTCAAAGCTTCATATTGTTTGTGCTACTTTCTAAATAATTTGAATTATAATATTGTGTCATGGACAATATTGTTAGTCATTTTTATAATCAATCTCTATTATTTGAGAGATCTAAGACAAAGAGAGAGGATAATTGGCATATTTGTAGAAGAATATCACCGCTAAATAATAAATTAATTTTGGTTAAATAATTTTGGTTTTTTTATTAAATCTTTTATTACATTTTATAAACAAAAGTGTGTGTAACACATAAGTACCTTTGCAAACTCACAGGTAACACACCAGAATCTATGCAGATGCACGAGTAACACATTAGTAACGTGTGAACGTACGGGTAACACACCAGTATCGTGTAAACACACAGGTAGTCAGGTCAAAATCTGTGTGAACGCACGAGTTACACACTATGATACGGTGGGAGAACTGACTTGAGGTTTTGCGTTTGTGTTCGCAATTGTTTCGGTTTAGCAAGAGTCGCCACCGACTTTTTATTTTATCTAAAGGAAAGGTCAAAAAGCACAGGAAAGACCTTTGAGATGTTTTCTTGGGTTCGGGGGGTAGATTATGAAAAGGAAAGGTGCAAGCACCCTTTTCATCCATGGTTGTCCATGAGCTCTTAGTTATTTGGTTAGATCACTTGCTTTTGCTTTTCAATTGTTTGAAATGGTGCTTTGTGTGTGTGGTTTTGAAAATGCTTTGAAAAAAGAGGCCTTGTCTATGCAACCTTTGTAATGATTCTTGTTTGAATATATACAAAGGTGTTTGTCTTTTTGAAAAGATATTTCAATGTTTGAAAGTTTGTTTTTGGAAAATGTTTTGAATTGTGTTGTGATGTGTGTTTGAAAGTAGCAAGGATGTTTTGCAAGTTTTGATCAAGTAATTAAGAGTTGTCTACCCTATTCTACTCAAAGATCTTTCTTATGTTTTTAACCCTTTTGACAGTGTTATTTCACCATTGTATTTGGTGAACAACCTTGTGTTAGGATGTTAAACGGGACAGGCGCGGGTCATTGCATACAATCATTGAAGGCAACTTGTGAGACGCTCTAGTAATTTTGTAAGGAACGAGATCGTTTTATCGAAGGCAACATTGAGGGTCATCGAGTGACTACGATCTTTGTTTATCAAAGGGGTATTTGCTAGAGTGTCTCATATTCGAGGGACATGATTGCATTTTCCGAGGCAACAAGCGAGGTTACCCTAGAGGTGCAAGTGTGAATTGTGTTTGTCATTTTCATGTATTTAGGTTCTTGTATTAGGTCATCTAGCGATTGATTTTAGATTTTCGCGTACAAACCTTAATCTCTAATCATGGCATATTTGAAAGCATAAAGTGCGAGAATTAAAATTCTAAGCTATTACAAAAGAGTATCCGGGGATGGGGGTACAAATTGTTTACAAATGGGGATGAATCTCACAAGGATAATAATGTTCGAATATCAAGTGTTACAACCAAATCGAATTGTCGCAATTCAATATAAAATTATAACAAATTATAAAATAAGGAAAATCAATAAATTATGAGATGCATGTATAAATAAAAATCTATTCTAAAAAAAAGAAAGATTAAATATTTTATTCTTTTGTGTTTTATTAATTATGAAAAGAAAAAGTTTTAAAGAAAAATTAATTAAACAACACTTCTATTATTTTTGGTATTTTTATTAATCAAAAAAGAGTTTAAAGAAAACAAAATTAATTAACTCAAATTAAATGCCTTTTTTTTATATTTTTATTATGTGATAATAAAAAGGAAATGATTTAAAACAATTTAAAAAAAAATCAAATTATTAGATATTATTAGTATTATTATTAACAATATAAAACCAATTAATTTAAAATGAAATAAAAAGAAAAGAGTGAGCATTTGTTAATAGCAGAATGGGCTTAGGCCTTTGGTATGGATGCTAGGCCCAAAACAACAAAACAAGTGGGCAGAATGCAAAGGGAGGGGGTGCGCTGGCCAAATTAAGTGGGCTTATGAGGTTTATGGGGCGAAGGCCCATAACAAAACTTGTAACATTTTTAGGGTTTGAATCAATTAGGGTTAGTGTGTGTAATCGTGGTTACAGCGGCGCCGCTCTCTCTCGTCTCTTCTCTTCATCTTTTCATCTTTCTCAATCTAGGGTTCTGATCCCTCCTTAGCCCTAAGCCGCCGGAGCGTCACCCCTACTCTCTATCCTCTTCACGATGATCCAAAGTTTTGTTCGAATGGTATGGTTTGTTTCTGGATTTGAGTTTTTTTATAATTTTGTTTGCTTCACATGTTTTGCTTTACAGTTTAGTCTTTTAATCCTTTGATGTTTACATGTCTGTGATGTAGCGAAGGTTTGAGAAATATACGTACCTTGAGGTTTTCTTTGGACAAGAGAGATGGAGGGTGAGACGATGCTCCTCGGTGGCTTAGCGGCACAAGGAGGGAGGAGATGATGAGCTTCGCTTCTGGTATCTATTTTTTGTTGTTCTTTGGATGATGAGATTTTGATAGCTTCTGACTTTGTTGTTCTTGATTGTTAATGATGAAATTGTTCTGAAACTTTGTTGTTCTTGATTTTGTTGATGATGATGTGTTCTGAAACTGTTATTATTGTTGATTGTTGTTGATGGATACGATTCTGAAACTTGTTGTTTTGTTTTTCACTCTCTTGATTTGATGTTGATGATGAAACGTTTCTGAGACTGGTTTTTTTGATGTTGAATACAGTTCTGAAACTCTTTTTTTTGTCGCTTCTGAAACTCTCTTCCTCTCTCTGAATGTTGATGTTTGATGATGAAATATTTCTGAAAACTTTGTTGTTTGTTACTTCTGAACCTCTCTTCTTCTTTCTTGGCTTTGAAGGTTAATGATGATGTATTTCTGAAACTTTTGATATTGTTGGTAGTTGTTTCTGAAATTCTCTTCCTCTTTTCTTGAAGTTCAAAGGTTGATGATGAGAATATCTCTGAAACTTTTTGTTGGTTTGCTTGGCAAGCTTGATGATTTGTTAGCTTTGCAGGTTTTTGTTGAAACTGAATTTGGTTGATGGTTAGATGATTATTGTTGAACTGAGTTGGTAGGCTTTGGTTGATTGTTTCTGAAACTGGTTTGCAGTTTATGGTTTGGTGATTCTGAGTTGGTGTTTTTTCTGGTTGATTGTGTAGCTTGGACAAGTTTTGTTATGTTTTCTGTTTGATAACAGGTTGGCTAGGCTTGTTTTAGTTTGTAGTTTGACTGTTGTTGAGCTTGTGCAGGTTTGAGCTAGGCTTTGTGGTTTGAGCAAGCTTGCAGCTTGTGCAGTTTTTGTGAGTTTTGTTATGTTTTCTGTTTGATAACAGGTTGGAGAGTTTTTGTGATGGCTTGAAAACTGTTTGGACAGGTTGGAGCTTTTGTGGTTTTAACCAAGTGTTTTTTTCTCCTCCTCCTTTCTGTTATGCAGTTTAAGTCTTTATATTTTTCTTAACTTTTGTTGACTTGTGACAGCCTGCTTTTTAGCCAAACTGTCAAACCTCACCCAAGGTGATATCTTTCTCTCTTTCTCTCTCCATGAAACAAGCATTTT